TACAGGCACGCGCCACCATGCCCAGCTAATTTTTTGTATTTTTAGTAGAGACGGGGTTTCACCATGTTGACCAGGATGGTCTCGATCTCTCGACCTCGTGATCCACCCACCTCGGCCTCCCAAAGTGCTGGGATTACAGGCTTGAGCCACCGCGCCCGGCCGGGTTTTTTTTTTGAGACAGAGTCTCACTCCCATTGCTCAGGCTGGAGTGCGGTGGCTCAAACAGGGCTCATTGCAATCTTAACTTCCCAGGCTCAGGTGATCCTCCCATCTCAGCCTCACAAGTAGTTGGGACAAGTATGTGCCACTATGCCCAGCTAATTTTTTGTACTTTTAGTAGAGATGGGGTTTTGCCAATATTGCCCAGGCTGGTCTCAAATCCTGGGCTCAAGGGATACACCTGCCTCAGCCTCCTAAAATGCTGAGATTTCAGGCATGAGCCACCACACTCAGCCAAGCAGCTTTTTTTTTTTTTAATATATAGGTTAGGAATACCAAGAGTTCATCACACATAAGTGTTGTTTTAACTAATTGTTTCAGTTGTTACAAATAAGCTTTGTATGTGTGTACTGGATAGTGATATATTTCATGGAATTCCCATACATAAAAGTACTAGGAAACTGAAGTGCTAAATTATATGTTCTTACTATAACGGCACCAGAATTTCAAAAAAAGGTGACCAGTGTAACTTAGAGCAGTCTGAGGAAGTTTTAAGAAGGTATAGGACTTGGACTAGTTCTTGACAGATAAGAAGAATTTAAGTAGATGAAAAGAGGGTATATCAGGAGATAGGCAGCATAAGCAAAGGCTCTGACTCGCTGTCAGCCAGATGGCAGCTGTGACTTAGTTGTGTTAAAACCTGCAGCCGGGTGCGGTGGCTCAAACCTGTAATCCCAGCACTTTGGGAGGCCGAGGCGGGTGGATTACGAGGTCAAGAGATCAAGACCATCCTGGTCAACATGGTGAAACCCCGTCTCTACTAAAAATACAAAAAATTAGCTGGGCATGGTGGTGCGTGCCTGTAATCCCAGCTACTCAGGAGGCGGAGGCAGGAGAATTGCCTGAACCCAGGAGGCGGAGGTTGCGGTGAGCCGAGATCGGGCCATTGCACTCCAGCCTGGGTAACAAGAGCGAAACTCCGTCTCAAAAAAAAAAAAAAAAAAAACCTGTTGACATCCGCCATAGGAATTCCAACTCATTTCCTATAGTGAATAATAAAACCTCTTTAAGAGAACTTCAGATTGTCAAATTCAGCTATTTAAATTAAGAAATATAACAGAGGGGCCGGGTGTGGTGGCTCAAGCCTATAATCCCAGCACTTTGGGAGGCCGAGGCGGTGGATCACTAGGTCAAGAGATCGAGACCATCCTGGTCAACATGGTGAAACCCCGCCTCTACTAAAAATACAAAACGTTAGCTGGGCGTGGTGGCGCGTGCCTGTAATCCCAGCTACTCAGGAGGCTGAGGCAGGAGAATTGCCTGAACCCAGGAGGCGGAGGTTGCGGTGAGCGGAGATCGCGCCATTGCACTCCAGCCTGGGTAACCAAAGTGAAACTCCGTCTCAAAAAAAAAAAAAAGAAAGAAAGAAATATAACAGAGGAACCCCATCAGTTGAGATCTATCAATGGACCTTTTTTAAAGTATTACCTAGGCTGGGCACTGTGGCTCATGCTGGTAATCCCAGTACTTTGGAAGTTTCAGGTAGGGGAATCACCTGAGGCCAGGGGTTTGAGATCCAGTCTGGCCAACATGGTGAAACCCTGTCTCTACTAAAAATACAAAAATTAGCTGGGCGTGGTAGCACACACCTGTAATCTCAGCTGCTTCAGGAGGCTGAGGCATGAGAATTGCTTGAACCCAAGAGGTGGAGGTTACAGTGAACTGAGATCATGCCACTGCACTCCATCCTGGGTGACAGAACAAGCATCTGTGTCAAAAAATAAAATTTAGCCGGGCGCGGTGGCTCAAGCCTGTAATCCCAGCACTTTGGGAGGCCGAGGCGGGTGGATCACAAGGTCGAGAGAGCGAGACCATCCTGGTCAACATGGTGAAACACCGTCTCTACTAAAAATACAAAAAATTAGCTGGGCATGGTGGTGTGTGCCTGTAATCCCAGCTACTCAGGGAGGCTGAGGCAGGAGAATTGCTTGAACCCAGGAGGCGGAGGTTGCGGTGAGCCGAGATCACGCCATTGCACTCCAGCCTGGGTAACAAGAGCGAAACTCCATCTCCAAAAAATAAAATAAATAAAATAAAATAAAATAAAATTTTAAAAAAACACAAAAATAATTAGCTGGGTATAGTGGTGCACACCTGTAATCCCACCTACTCAGGAAGCTGAGCAGAATTGCTTGAATCAGGGAGGCAGAGGTTGCAGTGAGCTGAGATCGCCCCACTGCACTCCAGACTGGGGAACAGAGTGAGACTCTGTCTCAAAAAATAAAAATAAACTATTGGCCAATCGCAGTGACTCACACCTGTAATCCCAGCACTTCGGGAGGCCGAGGTGGGTGGATCACAAGATCAGGAATTTGAGATCAGCCTAGTCAAGATGGTGAAACCGCATCTCTACCAAAAATACAAAAATTAGCCAGGTGTGGTGGCGGGCGCCTGTAATCCCTGCTACTTGAGAGGCTGAGGCAGGAAAATCACTTGAACCCAGGAGGTGGAGGTTGCAGTGAGCCGAGATCGTGCCACTACACTCGAGCCTGGGCAACAGAGCAAGACCCCATCTCAAATAAATAAATAAATAAATAGTATTACTTAGTAGTGAAACCTTGTCTCTCAAAAAAAAAAAAAAAAAATTCTTTTAATTAGCCGGTTATGTTAGCATGCCTGTAGTCCTTGCTACTCAGGAGGATCGCTTGAGTCCAGGAGTTCAAGGCTGCAGTTAGCTATGATTGCACCACTGCATTCCCATCTGGTTGACAGAGCAAAACCCTATCTTAAAAACAAACAAACAAAAAAGTGTTGCCTAGTCAATATTTCTCCCTTCTCCATTAAACTCTGCCCCAAGGTCCAGAAGACCAGACCCATAGGAAAGTACACTGGCCAAATAGGCAAATCATTAATGGCACTACCCAAACTCCCCACTTCTTCCCTCTGAACTGTAACACCACCCCCACCTCTACCACCCAACTTGAGGAAAAAGAAATACATCCATTTCCCAAAGGTTTAGACAACTGTGCTTTCCCACACAGCACACATAATCAGGACATTCAACAGCCAGACGATGGTTTGACTGCATTAATACCTTACTTCCAAAGATTTTACTGTCCACCTGTTTTAGAAGCCCCACCTTCTGTGAAACACTAGGATGATGTCCTTCTGCTTCATAAGGTATTGGTCCATTTTTCCATTTACATGAGTATTTTTGGTTTTTGTTTTTTTGACACAAGGATAGACTCTATGGCCCAGGCTACGGTGCAGTGGCATGATCTCAGCTCACTGCAACCTCCATCTCTCAGGCTCAAGCAATCTTCCCACCGCAGCCTCCCCAGTAGCTGGGATTACAGGCATGGGCCTGGCTAATTTTTGTATTTTTAGTAGAGATGGGATTTCACCATGTTGGTAAAGCTGGTCTCGAACTCCTGACCTCAGGTGATGATGCCTGCCTCGGCCTCCCAAAGTACTCCCCAAAGGATTACAGGCATAAGCGACTGCGCCTGGCCTATTTACATGTTGGATTGGATTATGTATGTTCAGCCCACTGGTAAGATAATAAATATTTTAGGGCTGTTTTCTCAGAAACAGAACTCTCCCTAGGAACTCTTTCACAAAGCATATCCGTTTAGATTATTCAGCTAACATTCACTAAGGGTCTTCAGGCATCAGGAACACTCAGCGGGAGGGGCACAGCAATGAATAAGGCAGGTACCCAGCCTGGAGGAGCTGCCATGCTAACGGGGCACACAGACGCACACAGAGCTTCAGAAATGCCGAGCACAGTAAGTGCAGGACAGAGGTAAGCACAGTCCAAGGTTCTGGGGGAAAGTCAGGAGGACCCGAGGGGCCCTGGAGAAGATTCGATCTGAATGGATCTTTTCAGGATGCACAGAAGTTAACCAGGTGAAGATACACGGTACAAACAGAACAGAAGCAAAGCTACAGGGGCATCAGACAACAGCGTCCGGGGGAAACGAAAGGCAGTGTGGCATTAAGAAAGCAGGCGACGGCCGGGTGCGGTGGCTCAAGCCTGTAATCCCAGCACTTTGGGAGGCCGAGGCGGGTGGATCACAAGGTCGAGAGATCGAGACCAACCTGGTCAACATGGTGAAACCCCGTCTCTACTAAAAATACAAAAAAGATTAGCTGGGCATGGTGGCGCGTGCCTGTAATCCCAGCTACTCAGGAGGCTGAGGCAGGAGAATTGCCTGAACCCAGGAGGCGGAGGTTGCGGTGAGCCGAGATCGCGCCATTGCACTCCAGCCTGGGTAACAAGAGTGAAACTCCGTCTCAAAAAAAAAAAAAAAAAAAAAAAGAAAGCAGGCGAGCGGTGAGGGGCAGCGTCTAGGTCCCGGGCAGTCACTGGAGGGACAGGGGGAGGCCGGACTCTGCCACTCGGGCCGAGGCGGGGGGCATCAGCAGCGTTTCTCCTCGCCATCCACATCTGGAGCTGTGTCCACCAGGCTCCTGTGGGGGCTGCTCCCGGGAGGGCCGAGCAGGCTGCGTTCGCGACCTGCCTCGCTCCGCGGCAAGCCAGCCCACACACCTCGGGACTCCGCTCAGAATCTAAAGAGGAGAGATCCTCGGGTTCTCTCGAGGCTGCTTCATGACCTCGGACCAGAAGAAAAGGGAAGGAGGAAGCAGGAGGAAGCAGAAAGCCGCAGGAACCAGAGACGCTATGACCCCAGAGATTCCGCAGATCACAAGACACCGAGTCGCCACGCCGATGCCCCACGCGCGGAGCAGCGGGAGCTGGGAGACAGGGAGGGCAGCGAAACCCAGGCACCGACCGCCTCCGAGCCTCAGCGGGCCAGCGGGGCCGCAGCTCGGTTTACCTTGGTCATGCCAACCCCCACCACGAACACCCGGCGTAGCGGCGCACGCTCCTGCAGGGAAGAGAACATGGCTGCGCCAGTGCCAGACGCGAGCGGGCACCGCGGACGACAGCAGCGGCTGGCGGGAGGCGGCGGAACAGAGTTCCCTCTCAGGCCCGAAGCTAGGGCCGCGGTCGACGGCACAGGCGCGTGCGCGTGAGCGGGCGGGGAGGGGGGCGGGGAGCGGGCGGGGCGGGGCGGGGAGCGGGCGGGGCGCGGCGGGGAGCGGGCGGGGCGCGGCGGGCGGGGCGCGTCCTGAGGGGCTGGGAGCGTTGGCGCGCCCGCGGCTGCCGAAGCCCTCATTTGCGGACCTGGGCGTGGGACTGCGTCAGCAGGTCCCATCTCTGAGTCTGTGCCCTGGTTCTGTACAGCGAGCGGGAGTAGGTCTGCAGTGGCGCCTGAGACCGAGAGGAGGGTTGGCCGGAAAGCGGATTCACGAAGGGGCATCCTGAGGAGATCCCCTGGAGTTCGTGTTAGAATTGGCCTGTGTCCTGTTACCGGTGGCAGTTGTGACAGTGAATTCATGAATTAAAACTCACAGGACACCAAAAAAGCGGGGATGGGCAGGATCTCACACACGGATACAGTGCCTAAATCAAAAAGCCCAGGCTCCGTCACCAGCTACCTGACCTTCTTTTTTAATTTTGTCAACAAGAGTTCTCCGAAAAGGAATTTGGAGGACCGAGACTTTATTCCAGCAAACCGGGGAGAAACCACCTTCCATGTTTGTTTGTTGGAGACGGAGTCTCTCTGTCACCAGGCTGGAGCGCAGTGGCGTGACCTCGACTCACTGCAACCTCCGCCTCCCGGGTTCAAGCGATTCTCCTGCCTCAGCCTCCCGAGTAGCTGGGATTGAGTAGCCGGAATTACAGGCGCGCACCCCTACACCGAACCACTGTCTGTATTTCTAGTAGAGACAGGGTTTCACCATGATGGCCAACATGGTCTCGATCTGCTACCTCGGCCTCCCAAAGTGCTGGGATTACAGGCGTGAACCACCGCGCCCGGCCAATTTTTGCTTTTGAGAAAGGTCTCACTCTGTTGCCCAGGTTAGAGTGTGTGATGTGATCATAGCTCACTCAAACTCCCGGGTTCAAATGGTTCTCCTGCCTTGATCTGCCAAGTAGCTGGGACTACAAGCGTGAACCACCATACCTGGCTAGTATTTATTTATTTATTTATTTATTTTTGAGATGGAGTCTTGCTCAGTCGCCCAGGATGGAGTGCAGTGGTGTGATCTCAGCTCACTGCAACCTCCACCTCTCAAGTTCGAGAGATTCTCCTGCCTTTGCCTCCCAAGTAGCTGGGTTTACAAGCACCCACCACCACACCAGGCTAATTTTTGTTGTTGTTGTTGTTGTTTTTCGAGATGGAGTCTCACGCTGTCACCAGGCTGGAGTGCAGTGGCCTCTGCTCACTGCAACCTCCGCCTCCTGGGGTTCAAGCAATTCTCCCTGCCTCAGCCTCTCCAGTAGCTTGGATTACAGGCACCTGCTGCCACGCCCAGCCTTTTTTGTATTTTTAGTAGGGGTGAGGTTTCAGCATGTTGGCCAGATCTGCTCCCCTTGGCCTCCCAAAGTGCTGGGATTACAGGCGTGAGCCACCACACCTGACCAATGGTTTCTTCTTTTAAGGACACCAGTTGTACTGGATTAGGACCCACCCTTATAATCTCATTTTAATTTAATTGCTTCTTTATAAAGACCTCACCTCCAAATATAGTCACATTCTAATGTACTGGGGTGTTAAGACTTCAATATGTAAATCTGGTGACAGGGAGGGACACATTTTAGCCTGTATGGGTTAACATTAACCTGTTCGTTTTATATTATTTATTTTTTGGAGAAAGGATCTGACTCTCTCGCCCAGTCTAGAGTGCCATGGCAGGATCTCTGCTCACTGCAGCCCTGACCTCCCAGGTTCAAGAGATCCTCCCATCTCAGCATCCCAAGTAGCTGGGATTACAGCTTTGTACCACCATGCTGGGCTAATTTTTAAATTTTTTTTTTTTTTTTGTAGAGATAAGGTCTCACTATGTTGCCCAGGCTGATCTCAAAGTCCTGGGCTCAAGCCATCCTCCCACCTTGGTCTCACAAAGTGCTGGGATTATAGACGTGAGCCACAGCACCTGGTTGCATTAACCTCTTTAAAGTATGAAATTAAATCAAACCTAAAGCTGTTGGACTCTAAATTATTTCAAGTCTTGAGAGAGATGTGGCCATGTGGCCTGAGTCATGCAGCACGGAGCTGCAACTTCTGCTTTTTCCTGTAAATCGTTAGGAAAAACCTTGTGGCATCAGAGATAAGACCACCTCAGATCCTTCTCACAGAACATGAAAGCACTCTTCCTTAGAATGTAGCAAGCTATGACCAATGAAATCACTGTAATGTATATACTGGCCTTGTACAGAAAATATTGTAACCCTGCTAAACCTCCCTGCTTCCATCTACATAAGTAAAACCTTAATTCCCCCATTTCGGAGCATTGGGCCCATTCCCTTGCAGTCTGTATTTCCTGGATGGTTATTATCAAACGTCATGCTCCAATAAACTCAATACTTAATATTTTCGGAGTCTCATTATTTAAGATGGGCAAAAGTATGAGAGGGGAAGTCCTCTAATTCCTCCCCAACTTTTCTGTAAAGTCTGTAACATGCAGCCTCGTGTCCTAGATCCTTTAGGGAATTAAGGAATTAAAGTTGTGTCCAATAGTTACAGAAAGGAACATGGAGGGATGGCCAGGTGATCTATAATCTGAATTAATTCGCTAGACACAGGGACATAGAGTTGGAAGTGACCAGAATAGATACAAACCCTAATTATTAGCCAGCTATGTGTGCACATCGGTAGTTCCAGCTATTCAGGGGCTGAGGTGGGAAGATCACCTAATCCTAGGAGGTTGAGGCTGCGGTGAACCATGATCATGCCACACTGCACTCCAGCCTAGGTGACAGAGTGAGACCCTATAGCAAAATAATAATAATAATAATAATAATAATAATAATATTGAAAGACACAGGGAGGAACTCAGAGTTTCCCATTAGATACAGGAAGGGGATTAGGCCTCAGTTTTGTTTAAATTTTATTGGACATAGGCTAGATGTGATGGCTCATGCCTGTAATTCCAGCACTTTGGGAGGCCATGGTGGGCAGATCAACTGAGGACAGGAGTTTGAGACCAGCTTGACCAACATGGTGAAACCCCATCTCTACCAAAAAATAGAAAAATTAGCTAGGCATTGGTGGCACATGCCTGCAGTCTCAGCTACTTGGAAGGCTGAGGTAGGAGAATCACTTGAATCAGGGAAGTGGAGGTTGCAGTGAGCTGAGATTGCACCACTGCACTCCAGCCTGGGCAACAGAGTAAGACACTTTCTCAAAACAAAACAAAACAAAAAAATGTAATGAGCATAGTAATGACTTCGGCAAGCTGGAAGATTTTGGTGATAATCAAAAATAATAACTACTACTGTTAACATTGAAGGGTCTTGACTATGAGCTGTCCAGGTTCTTAGCATGTTGAACAAATAATTGGGCAAAATGCACAAACAAAGCAATGGAAGACAAAATCATATATTTACTGAAGTGAAAGTATACGCCACAGAGTGGGAGCAGGCTGCAGCAAGCAGCTCAAGAGCCCTGGTTGCAAAATCTTCTAGGGTTTAAGTCCCTTTAGAGGTTTCCTATTGGTTACACCCTATGTATATGAAGACTTCGTGGTATGGTTTAGCTGTGTCCTCACCCAAAATCTCACCTTGAATTGTAATGATCCCCACATCTCAAGGGCAGGATCAGGTGAACATAATAGAATACTGGAGGCAGTTTCCCCCATACTGTTCTTGTGAGACTGAATGAGCTCTCTCATGTGATCTGACAGGGGTTTTTTTGGTTTTGTTTTTCTTTTTGTTTTGTTTGTTTTTTGAGATGGGGTCTCGCTCTGCTGCTAGGCTGGAGTGCAATGGCCCCTGGCCTATTAGGAGATTTTTTTATTACTGATTTAATAATCTGTGTACTATTTATATGTTTATTCAGATTTTCTATTTCTTTGTGATTTAGTATTAGTAAATTTTGTCATTCTAGAATTGTACCTTTCATCTGGATTATCCTATTTTTTGGCATACAATTATTCATACTACTCTCTTATAATCCTTGTCATTTCTATAGAACTTGTAGCAATCTCCCCACTTTTATTTCTGATTTTAGTAACTTAAGTCTTCACTCTTTTTTCTTAGTTCATCTAGCTAAAGTTTTCTTGATTTTGTTGATCTTTTCAAAGAATAAACATTTGATGTTATTAATGTTATTAATTTTCTATTGTTTTTCTATTCTCTATTTCATTCATCTTTGCTCTAATCTTTGTTATTTCCTTCTAAAGCTTTGGGTTTAGTTTGTTTTTCTAGTTCCTTAAGTTGCAAAATTTGGTGGTTGATTTTACATCTTTCTTTCTTTTTTTTTTTTTTTTGAGATTGAGGGAGGGAGGAAGGGAAGAAGGGAGGAAGAGAGGAAGAAGCAATTTTACGTTTCTTATTTCTTTCTTTCTTTTTTGAGACAGAGTCTCACTCTGTCACCCAGGCTGGAGTGCAGTGGTGCCTCTCAACTCACCGCAACCTCTACCTCCTGAGTTCAAGTGATTCTCCTGCCTCAGACTCCCAAGTAGCTGGGATTGCAGGTGCCTACCACCACGCCCAGCTAATTTTTGCATTTTTCGTAAAGATGGGGTTTCACCATATTGGTCAGGCTGGTCTCAAACTCTTGACCTCAAATGATCCGCCTGCCTCAGCCTCCCAAAGCGCTGGGATTACAGGCATGAGCCACCACACCTGGCCTGTTCTATCCATTTTTGAGAGTGAAATATTAAAGTCTCCAACAATTATTGTAGAACTGTCTGTTTCTCCATTCATTTCTCTCCGTTTTTGCTTCCTATATTTTGATGATCTGTCATTGGTGTATAAATGTTTGTAATAGTAATACCTTTTTGCTGTATTTAATATTTTATTCATATATACTGCTCTTCTTTGTCTCTCGTAAACTTTTAAAATTTAAAGTGTATTTGCCTGACATGAGTATAGCCATTCCTGCTCTTTTTTGGTTACTATTGCATAGAATATCTTTTTCCATCCTTTCACTTTCAACCTATTTATGTCTTTGAATCTAAAGTGAGCCTCTTGTAGACATTATATAGTTGGATCTTTTT